GTGGGCTTGCTGTGGGTTTATACACTCGACCCTCGGGGCCTCATTGTGACCTTATACCCCCGTGTGCTGTGGGCTTGCTGTGGGTTTATACACTCGACCCTCGGGGCCTCATTGTGACCTTATACCCCCGTGTGCTGTGGGCTTGCTGTGGGTTTATACACTCGACCCTCGGGGCCTCATTGTGACCTTATACCCCCGTATGCTGTGGGTTTGCTGTGGGTTTATACACTCCACCCTTGGGGCCTCATTGTGACCTTATACCCCCGTGTGCTGTGGGTTTGCTGTGGGTTTATACACTCGACCCTCGGGGCCTCATTGTGACCTTATGTAACCATAGCAACAAAATGCATTCTCTCATAATCTGTCATATGTTGTGGCTGAAAATTACAGGATCGAATCCAGTATAAAATAGTAGCTGTCACCCGGTACTGACAGGCAGGGCACCCTGGACAGGAAGCTCTTCTATCCCAGGGCATGTTTACATATAAGGGCATAACTTTGGGTTAAGCACAGGGGGGTGAATTCTCCACCCATTTAAGGGGGTCCAGGGGGTTGCACTGGCTGGTTTTGATTAGTTGGGGGGGGGGAGGTACAACCCCCACTCCCCACAGAATTTACACCCATATTTACAGACAGAGACACACACACACACACACACTCATACCTGCATACCAAGCAGGAGGTTGGAAATTTTTAAGTTCCGAGTTATCAGGAATGCGCCGGTACGTTGTGATGTGCAATAGTTATAATAATGAATAATAACAGAATATACGCTTTTTCATTCAGATAATCCATGCCTAGAACACTGGTATCCCTGTGCATTTTGACCAATCAGATGGTGGTGACGCAGCCAGCTTCGATTGGTCACGCTTTCGGTGCTGCTAGCAAGCAGGGCCGTGTCGGCACGGGTACGGCTCTGGTACTGTTCGGAAAATGACAGCTTGGTTCTTGGTGGCAGTGGGAAAGCACTGATATTTTCTTGAAGATAAAACTTTCACTAAAACCCCAACTAAAAATCATATTAAAAAGACGCTGATTGGTTCAGATGGAGAAACGAGATGTTTTACTGTCTCTGTTCCCGTTTTTGCGATGGAAAGGGAAGCTGGGGAGTGTGACATAAATAAAAGAGGGAGCTGGTTCTCTGTCCCCCCAGGACGGGAATGTAAATTTAGCCAAAGCCAATGAAGTCTATTCTCTGTGCTTCACCGTCACTGGACACTGAAGTCTATTCTCTGTGCCTCACCGTCACTGAAGTCTATTCTCTGTGCCTCACCGTCACTGGACACTGAAGTCTATTCTCTGTGCTTCACCATCACTGGACACTGAAGTGTCTTCTCTGTGCCTCACCGTCACTGGACACTGAAGTCTATTCTCTGTGCTTCACCGTCACTGGACACTGAAGTCTGTTCTCTGTGCTTCTCTCACCTGCTTTCCCTTTTGCTGGTGATTTGCCCTGGCATTTACGTGTTTGTCCAGAATTCAAGTATGCACTGGATTGACAAAGACAATGATATTAAAGCCTGGTTGTTTTTTTGCTATATGCCTGGGTTATTTAAAAAAAACATCATTTCAATTTAGCTCAGTGGAAGTCTCCATTCGAAGAAATTCAAAGAAATCATTCTGTTGTGTTAGAATGCACTGTGGATGTATGGACGGCTCGTGATTTTCTTTGCGTTCATCACATGGATATGGAAAACAGAGGAAGTTGCCATTAACAGCGGCACTGCGCACATCGTGGACTCTGACGGAGTAATGAGCGGCAGTGTGACGCGGCGATCGTGGACTCTGACGGAGTAATGAGCGGCACTGCACACACGGCGATCATGGACTCTGACGGAGTAATGAGCGGCAGTGTGACGCGGCGATCGTGGACTCTGACGGAGTAATGAGCGGCACTGCACACACGGCGATCGTGGACTTTGACGGAGTAATGAGCGGCAGTGTGACGCGGCGGGGAACGGTAGTGAGAGATGAATGAAGGACTTGTTCTTCCCGAATGTTGCGTGACTGCTGCCTGCCAGGCGCTCTGGGTCCATAAATAGCATGAAGAGCAGAGAGGAGACAGGCAAGCCCTGTGTGCCGTACTGTAAACACGGCGGCTCATGCCCAGTGCTTCGCTGTGCGTGACAAGAGCCACTGGGTTTGAAGTTCCAGCAGTGAAAATTGGGGAGGGGGGTGGCAGAACCGTCATTATGTGTGGGCAGAATGCAAATTCTGTTATTTAGTATTTCAGACTCAAGACTTTAAGGTCATGAGGCCAAAGNGAGAGGGGGGTGGCAGAACCGTCATTATGTGTGGGCAGAATGCAAATTCTGTTATTTAGTATTTCAGACTCAAGACTTTAAGGTCATGAGGCCAAAGATGCACGAAAATGCAAAAAAAAAGTAGAGAATGTGGTGTATTTACTGCATTCGTTAGTTATACTGTTGCATCCTTATAAAATGTGACTGACATTGGTGAGTTTAACATTATAACTTTTATAATTATAAGGTGCCTCACTCAGGAGCACTGTGAAGAGGGAACGTTATGGCGATTCCAAGAGGGGGCCTTCAAAAGTGTGGGACATAATTGCATTGGCTGGGTAGGGGGCCCAATATGATGTGGATTCTTGGGTCACTGCTGCCTGGTATAGGCTCACAGCAACCTTCCTCAAGGTACATTGTTAGACGATGGATGGATGGATGAATGGATGGATGGAGGTTAGTAAGGTCAGATCAGAGTGTTGCCACACCCACTACA